GCTAAAAGTAAGACTAGCACATAACCCAAATATATCACTTCTGGGTGTATAAGCCCAGAGTCTATACACCGACATACCCCAGAGATGTTTGCATCTGTATGTTTGTTGCTGCACTGTCCACAGTGGTCAAGTTATGAAACCATCCTAAGTGTTCATCAACAGAAGACCTAATGAAGAAATTGTGCTGTGCATGCACAGTGTAGTTATAGTTAACCATAAAGAAGAATTAAAGTACAACATTTGCAGAAAGATAGACAGAGCTCAAGACTATGACAGTATCGTGTTTTTATTATTCATTTATTTTCATACAGATATGCCAATGAAATATATAATATGTATGTAACCATGTATTTATGTAGAAGTAAGACTTGAGGAGTGAATCAGAACAATGGGAGAGACGAGTAAAGGAAAATGGAGTGAATGTATTATAGCTATATGAAATGAAGCCTATCGGAACGCATAACGACATATGCCAATAAAAATTGTGTTAAAAGTAGTGATACTACTCAGCAATCAAAAAGGAGGAAATCATGAAATTCGCAAGCAAATGGTGGGATCTAGAAAAGATCATCTTCAGTGAAATATCCCAGAAGGAGAAAGACAAACACGGTATATACTCACTTATATAGACCTATAAGATATAATAAACATAATGAAATCTATACACCTAAAAAAGATAATCAAGAGAGCGGACATGGGGTAAGATTATCAATCCTCATTTTGAAAGACAGATGGGATACGCATTGAACATTGACAGGAGTTTACTGAGCGCATTGGAAAGACTCTAACTAGCAGTGTTTTCAAAGCAAAGACTCATGACCAAACCTCTGGCAGAGTACAGGGAATCATAAGAAAGAAGGGGAGTTAGACTGATGAGGAAAGGATAGGAGCTCCACAAGGACCAAAAATATCTGGGCACAGGGTCTTTTCTGAGACTGACATACAACCAAGAACCATGTATGAATGTAACCCAGAACCTCTGCTCAGATGTAGCCTGTGGTAGCTCAGTAACCAATTGGTTTCACATAGTGAGGGGAACAAGGACTATTTCTAACAGGAATTCAATGGCTGGCTCTTTGGCCTCCCCACCCCCCAAGAGAGGAGCAGTCCTGTTAGGCCACAGAGGAGAGCTTTGCAGCCAGTCCTGAAGATACCTGATAAAACAGGATCAGATGAATGGGGAGGAGGTCCCCCCTATCAGTGGACTTGGCAAGGGGCACGGTGGAGATGAGGGAGGGAGGGAGGGAGGGAGGGACTGGGAGGGAATGAGGGATCGGGACACGGCTGGGATACAGAGTTAATAAAATGTAACTGATAAGAAAAAAAATAAAATACAAAAAATAAATAAATAAATAAATCCTAAAAAAAAAAAAAAAAAAAAAAAGTAGTGCAGAAACAAGAAACAGAACAGAAGCCATCCACAGGGGACCTCTAAAAGATTCTACCCATCAGGGTATTGAAGGAGAGACTCAGTCAAACTTTGGGCAGAGTGCAGGAAACCTTAAGGAAGAAGAGGGGGATGGAAAGACCTGAAGGGGACAGGAACTCTAGAAGACCAACAGAACCAAAAAACCTGAGCCCAGAGACTGATTCTGCAACCAAGGACCATGTGTGGAGAGGACATACCCCCTGCTCAGATGAAGCCCATAGGCTGTTCAATTTCCAAGAGGGTTCCCTAGTAAGGAGACCAGGGACTGTCTCTGATATGAACTCAGTGGCAGGCTCTTTGATCACTTCCCCCTGGCAGGTGCACACTAGCCAGGCCATAGAGGAAACTAATGCAGCCAGCCCTGATGAGACCTAATAGGCTAGAGTCAGATAGAAAGGGAGGAGGACCTCCCCTAGCAGTTCACTAGGAAAGGTTCATAGGGTAGAAGAGAAAAGGTGGGTGAGAGATATCGGAGGGGGCTACAGGTGGGATACAAAGTAAATGAATTGCAATAAATGAATAATTACATAGATATATTCATACTACAGAGCTTTTAAACTTCAAAATATAATTGGAGTTTAAATGAAAAGTTTCAATGTAGAATAAGCATATGCTACTGTTATGGTTTTGAAAAATGACCTTGATTCTGATTTTTTTCTCCTAGTGATAAAAATGAAGAAACATTTATATAAGACCTTGGATTCTTTTTCGGAAGAAAACATTCCCCAATCATCATTAATAACCATATCCCTGTATTTTAATTCTAAACCTATAATAGACTCACTCATAAAGATGTCTTTAAACCATTTACTCAATTAATGAAAAAAAATGTAATACTAATGAACATAAAGGAAGTTCCAAATGGTAATGACCTAAGTTAGAATGTAGCCAGAAGCCAAGTGTTTTCACTATAGTCCAATGAGATATTTTCTTCTATCTGAAGATTCTAAATATTTAAACGTCGTGAATGTTTATTCTGTACATCTTGTTCTAATCACTGAGAATTAGAGTGATAAATGATTTTGCTTCTGCTCTTAGATACCTTGTTATCTATTGCATCATTCTAGTCTGACAAGCACAAAATAACTCCAATTACATATAAAATACAATAAATGCAATCATTAAGGCTATAAAAACATACTGATTTAGGCTGGGTGTGAGAGCATATGCCCCCAATCCCAATGTTTTGGAAGAAGGGGCAGGTACTCTATGTGAGTTGGAGGCCCGGCTGGTCTACAGAGGAAGTTCCAAACCAGCTTAGGTTACATAGTAAAACCCTGTCTCATGAACACTAAACAGACACACACACACACACACTCACTCACTCACACATATACACATATGTACATATGTATGCATGTGTAGATACATGCACATATACTTTACATGGAGATATAGATTATATCTTATTTTACTGCACAGGAATACTTGTTATAAAGCAGTGGTTCTCAATCTCAGGGTCATGTTAGGATCACCTTGGGAGCTTTGAGAAATCTTCATGACCGGACTTCACCCAAGTAAATCATAATGCCTCATGCATCAGGACTTTCTTTCTAATCTCCCTAGATGAATGCACTGTGCAGCCAAGCTTGAAACCCATTGTTATGAAAGACCAGGAAGAATATAAAAGAATAGGCAAGTTTTTTATTCAAAGGGTCAGAAAATTCGGGCACTTAAAATAATCTCCTTAACACAACTAATTTATTTTTACTCTCTAAACCTCAGGTCAATTATAACATTACCTGAAAAGCATTTTCTGACTCCCCCAATGATACCGATAAGAATCCTAATAACAATAACCGAAACTCATCACTATTTTATGGACACCACTGTATTCTACATACCATAATAAGCATTTTAATAGGTTCCAAAGGTTCCAATATTATCCTTCTCAAGATGCTGTGAGACAAGCAGTAACAGTGGTGTTTAAGGTCACATGTGGTGAAGATAAATAACACAACTCAAGGGCGATGGAGTTGGAAGTACAACTACCAAATCCGCGTTCTGACATGATCTTCTGATCATATGTAGCTTCTTACATAGCACAGGTGTGCACCCAGCATACTGTGAAGCATAGTATGCTGCCATACTTTTGTGAATTTCATTTGCTACTCACTTATTTACCTAATCAAGAGGTTTTGAATTTATTCTCAATGTACTTGGTGCTAGAAATATGAAAAGTCTGGGAATTCATGGTACAGAATTCCAAATCTTGCCACTTCTTTTTACAAACAAAGTTTTCTTGAGCCACAACCATGGCCATTGTTTGACTGGTTTGTTGCCTGTGGCGATCTTCATGTTACAAGATTGTTGTTGAGTAGTTAATTTTACTGTCTGGCTATTTAGAGAAAGTTTGACAGCCCATAGTCTAGAGTACAAGATAATTAAATCACTAATGACTATCAAATGATATGCATGCTGTGGTACCTCACTGTAGGAACATTTAAGAGAAATGTGTGTGTGTGTGTGTGTGTGTGTGTGTGTGTGTGTGTGTGTGTGT